AAGCTGTGGCTCAAGTGGCAGACTGCTAGCCCTGAGTGTGTGTGTGTGTGTGTGTGTGTGTGTGTGTGTTCCTGAGTGTGTGTGCACGCGCGCCCATGTGCGCCTGCATGCACGCCATCCTGGGGCTTGAACTTAGGGCCTGGGTGCTGTCCTTTAGCTTTTGCTTAAGGCTAGAGCTCTGCCACTCAAGCCACAGCTCCACTTCTGGCTTCTCACACCCTTTTTTGGTGATTAATTGGAGCTAAGAATCTCAAAAAAAGTTACACGGACTTTCCCTGCCTAGGCTGGCTTTGAACCAAGATCCTCAGATCTCAGCTTCCTGAGTAATTAGGATTATAAGCATGAGCCACTGGTGCCCTGATGCATTTTCATTTTTAAATAACTATAGATTCATCAGAATGAATAATATACAGATGCTCCATACACTCTGTCCTTCCTCTCTTGTTTTTTTTTTAAACATTATTCAGTTTTACAAATAGGACAGTTACATTGGTACAAGTGTGGGCATGGTTTCTTGTCCTTCACGTAATCACCACCAAACTCAAGATGTACAACTATTTCATTGCCACGAAGCAATCTCCTGTGCTGTTACTTCATCATCTCTCCTGACTCTGCCACCCTGTTGTTTTCCACTCCTGGTTACCACTGGTATGCTTTTCATCTCTGTATTTTTTTTATTTAGATAATGTCCTATAAATAGAACCAGGGAGTGTCCATGTTTCAGACACTGGCTTTTTCAACCTCAGAAAAATGCCATTGAGAATTATTCAAGTTGTGGCATGTATCAATAGGATATTCCTTTTTTTTGCCATGTATAAGTCTATCAGAGTTAGTTCAACAATGTGTACCACTCTGGTGGACATGTAATTGTTTCCAGTTTGGTGGCATTACAAATAAAGTTGATCATTGCAATGTTAGGCCACAAGTCTGCTATCTTACTTTTCGCTTTTGAAAGAAACTAACATTTATTATTTTTCTATTGAGGATGCATAGGAAAGGGAACACGTAAGAAATAAAAGAAATTAGTTTAAAAATCAGCCAATAGCTATGAATAACTTCTTTTTATTCTAATATTTTATATTACATGCCAATTATTCCAAAGAAAATTAAAAGTGATCCAAAGTATCCATATCAGATCCTATCCTATTCCCCTTTCTCCTTTTATTTTTTTTTCAGAACTTTATAAGGTTGTAGAGGGACTTACAATTTAACGTGTCCATCTAAGTGTCCTGTGCCTCTTGAGCAGTCACCCTTTCCAGCATTTTGCCCAATCCCATCAGCCCTTTCTTCTAGGCTCATTTCACATTTCCTACTTGCTTTGTCACATGTGTATGTTGAGTATTCTTGCTGTTTTTGTCCCTTGTTCCCTTCCCCATTAATCTCTCCCCTCCCACTACTTCTTTTTGTTGTCAAAATTCCATGTATGCTTAACTATAGTGCATTTGAGTATATTTCTCAACGTATGTGTTTTTGTAGCCATTTTAGCTGTTTGACTTATCATTAAGCATCTATAATTTATCCCAGGTTACTACTGGCTATGAACTGGTTACCAACTTGGGTGTACCACTTTGAGTGAAATATAGAGACCGTAAGACTTTCAAGTCTTTAATTGTTTATATGTCTATCATCAAATATTTTCCAAAGTCATTTTCACATACAGGTAGCCCGAAGGAAAGAGAATGAAGGTACATAAATGAGGAAATCAGTGGCTTGGGCAGCACCAGAGAGCCTGCTTCCACAATGTTCCCCCCATGCCACTCTTGTCTTCTGATACAAGGCTTTTCTTCTTCATAGTCATTTACTCCTGTTAGCTGATCAGTCTTCATGATTTGGCCATAAGCTATTCTAGGAAGACTCAGCAGGATGCATCCTGGGAAATGGAGACACAAGAGGCTGAGGTAGCTGTGCCAGGCCCCAAGGGCAATGCACAGGTCACATAGGTCAAATGGGGCTGCTCTGGCTCTCAGAAACCCTGCTGGACAGGGTCAGTGTAAGAAAAGGGAAACTCCATGGCTCTGTGTAAAGTATGTTTATTTGCCACGCTTTTCTGAGTTTCTCTTCTTTGCTAAGTTTTTGAATGCCTGGGAAGGAAATACTATTTCTCTAGAATTTTCTTGTGGGGAGCTGCTGTTCTTTCTAGGCCCTGAGTTCCTGAATAGATGCTTGAGTCAGATGAAGTTATTGGAGCAGTCTATCCTAGGACTGATAGGACATTCATCCAATCCAGAAGCACAACGCTTCAGCCTGTGATAGAGACACTAGAACTGGAGGCCTGCAGAACAGCAGGTAGGAACCAGTGATCTGCCTCCAAGATCCTGGCTTAGCAGTGAGTTTACCCCTGTGTACCCGTTAATGGCTCAGGCCTGTGATCCTGGCCACCCAGGAAGTTGAGATCTGGAGGATATAGACTGGAACTGTGTAGTAAAATGCCAACTAAATGAGTGAGCCTAGCAAGCAGGAGACTCTGAGTTCAGATCCCAGTACCAGCAAAAAGAATAATTGAATAAATGCCATAAATGTTATTATTTTAAGTATGTATAAACATATGTCACAGGAAAAATAGTAAGCTCTCAATAGTATGTGATTTACATATGTTGTAGGACAGGGCACACACACACACACACACACATTTATTTTTGTACTGGTCCTGGGGCTTAAACTCAGGGCCTGGGTGCTGTCCCCGAGCTTCTCTTGCTCAAGTCTAGCACTCTACCACTTCAGCCACAGTTCCACTTCCAGTTTTCTTTTTTCTTTTTCTTTTGGTAGTTTATTGGATATAAAAAGTCTTATGGGCCAGGCAGAAAAGTTCCCATGAGACTCATCTCCATTGGACTACCAGAAAACTAGAAGTGGAGCTGTGGGTAGAGGGCTAGCTTTGAACAAAAGAGTTGAGGGACAACACCCAGGCCCTGAGTTCAAGCCCCATGATGGACACAGACAAAAAAGGGTCTCACAGACTTTCCTGCCTTAGCTGACTTCAAACCACTATCCTCAGATCTCAGATCTCTGAGTAGCTAGGATTATAGGCATGAGCAATGAGTGCCCAGGGGTTTGATATTTTTTAAATGAAAAACATTTAGTAAAGAGAACAAATTCATGGGAGTTTGGAATCTAGATTTTCCGAGATTTTAAAAGTACTCTAGAGTTAGGTGCTGTGCTGTCTTAGCAACCCAGGCTCCAGCATTTCTCGAAAGAAATTCTAAGGGAAGTAGCTCCACACTGGGGAGCTGGTGGTAGCTTCTGAAATGCCAATGATGGTAAGAAGCTTCTGGTATTATGTGCTGTGGGACATGAGCGAAATGCATTGGCTCATTCCTGACCCCCTGTGCTTCTACAGGAGGATGGGTGCATACAAAGAAGAGAGCCTTTGAATCAACAAAACCACAGGCCAAGGAGGTAGGGAAAGGTGTTTTATGGGCTTGAATGGAAGGCTACTACAGTAACAGAGAAGCTTGCCCTTTCCTGTGAATTCAGCTCATTTTCCCCTTTCTTCCTCCTTCCCCCTCCAGCCTCAGGATAGGGTCCCAGATCACCTCCAGTCTTCTTGGTTATCCTTGGCCGTGGAGTTGGGTGAGACCAAATTGGCAAAGATTGGCTTTCTCGGTGCTGCTGGGGCTGTACTCTTGATTTTGTTCAGCTTCTCCCGGGCCAGTTGACATTTGCGAAGGCAGTTTGAACAGAGATCCTTTTCCTCTACCAGATAGAGGGTTTCCAGCCTCTTGATGGTATCTACAAAGGTATCCAGGTCATCTGTCTTGGGGAAGGGGTTCCGCTTAGTGTTGAGCTTCTTCAGCTTGGGCAGCTTGAAGATGTTGGGGGGGATGGTGGTCAGCAGGTTGTCGTGAAGCCCGACCTCATGGAGGTCCTTCAGCGCCCCCAGGGTGGTGGGCACGTTGTCCAGGTGGTTCAGACCGAGGTTCACGGTGCGCAGGTTCTTGAGCTGGTTCAGTTCCACAGGCAGCCCATTGGTAGTGAGCTTGTTGTTGCTGACATTCAGGTAGAGCAAGGTGGTCATCTGGCCGATGGACTCAGGTAGCTTGTCGATGTAGTTACTGTGCAGGTCCAGCCATCGCAGATTCTGAAACTTGGAGATGGAGTCGGGGATCTTTCTGATGAGGTTTCGGCTCAAGTCAATCTCGTCCACATCGTTGAGTCGTAGGATGCATTTGGGGAAGGTGGTGATTCCCATCTTGCTCAGGTCCAAGCGCTTCTTCCCATCGAATGTGACCTTGATACAATTCTTGGCCACATTGAGGGTGATCTTTCTGCCCTTAGGGGCTTTCCCACCCTTTGCCATGTTGTCTCAGTGAGCAAGGGTGCTGGAGAGATGTTGTTTCTGATTGGCTGATGATCAGTCTGAGGAAGCAGTCATGGGAAACTTCACAAGAGAGAAAATAACATCTGGTTAGGAGAAAACGTAAGGGTACCAGACTCTCCCCCAACCCCGAACCATGGGTTCTGCTCACTGGTGGTCAGAAAGAAACAGAATAATAGAGAGGTTTTAGAGCATCAGAGGAGTAACCCATCAAAAAAGTCTTCACAAATGGCATGCCCAAATTCCAAATCAACTTACTAGGAGACAAATGAGAAGTACAGAATTGGCCCAATGGATATCTCACTGCCCTGGGCTTTGATATGAACCCTGATGTGTGTGTGTGTGTGTGTGTGTGTGTGCACATGCATATGCGTGTATGTGTATGCACATGTATGTATGTGTGTGTGTGTGTTCTTGGATAGCACATAAATGCAAAGTCTCCTTAGAATTGCTCCATATTTGTTCTAGGGAAGGGCTGCTGTGAGATGCAACACAATTCTGGACATAAGGGAATAAGATACGTTTTAGGAATGACTTACTATATTCCTCTTTATTTTGGGGACTCAGAGGAGCTCAGCAGACTTTGCCACAGGAAGTAAGAAGAAGCTCTGAGCCTAGGGTGTCAGAGTTTGCACCCAGTACTCCAGGATGGGTGTAGGAGTGAGCCTGGCATTCATGAGAATGCAGCCTTCCCCCACCCTCCCCCACTGAAATTTGATATAGACAGCTCTTCATAAGGAGGCATATTGATGGTTGTAAGGACCTCCATTCAGAGTGGTAGAATGTTGCCTGTGATAGAGAATTCTGGTCTTGGTGTGCTTGGCTTCAAAGTCTAGTTCTGCTCTTCTCAGAAATTCTCAGTGTCTGAGTCCCCTTGTTTGTAAGTCAAGCTACTTATTGCATTCTTAGAGGGTCTAAATTATCTAATACCCCACAGCACCCATAACAGTGCCTGGCTCCTAGAAAAGGTTTGATTGCTGTTAGTTATTAATCATCGCAAGCAACATTCACATATTATTTCTAGTCCTCACCAAAATCCATTGTGTGAACCCATTGTAAAGAGAAAGAGACAAAGGTACATAAGCAAGCTTCCTTCTATAGCTAGGAACATGATGTAAACTCTACATAGTTAACAATTAAGGAGCCTATTTATAAATAATCCACAAGTTGAGGAAGTCTCAAGAGAAGTTAGAATATATTCTGAACTGAAGCAAAATGAAAATATAGCACAATTGATGGCAGCAATGGGAGGGAAACTTAAAGCTTTAAAGTCTTACATGACAACCAGACACTAGTGGCTCATGCCTGTAATCCTATCTGCTCAGGAGGCTGAGATCTGAGGAGCATGGTTTGAAGCCAGAAAGGCCCATGAGACTCATCTCCCAAGTAGCTACCAAAAAGCTGTAGGTGGAGCTGTGGCTCAAGTGGTAGAGTGTTAACTTTGAACACAAAAGCTCCGAGACAAGGCCCAGGCCCTAAGTTCAAGCCCCAGAACAAAAGAAAGTCTCATATGAAAAAAGAAAAACATATTCCCAATCTATAGAACTAACCTCCAATTCAAAAATCTATTTTACCTAACTATTCAAGAGGCAGAGATTGGGAGGATTAAACTTCCAGGCTAGTCCAGGCAAAAATTAGTAAGAACCCAATCTCAACAAATGAACCAGATGAATGTAGTGACTCACAGCTACAATCCTAGCTATTCAGGTGGCAAGGGTAGGAGGATTTCTATGCAAAGCAGACCCAGGGCAAAAGATGAGAGACCTTATATGAAAAGTATCTAAAAGAAAGTGGGCCCCTCTGTATGGTATTTTCACGATTAAAAAAAAAAAAAGGAAAGTGGGCCGAGGACATGACTCAAGTAGTAGAGTCTGTCTAGCAAGTGTTCAAACCCTAGTTACAGGCCCCCAACCACCCAAAAATGATGACTTGAGATTAGAAAAGCCTCTGTTATGATTCTGTGTTGATCAGCTTTTCCCACAAAGTAGGGCAGTCAAATTGAACAAAAAAAATTGCATGATCCCCAGTTAAACTTGCACTTTAGATGAACAACAGAGGCCTTTCAGGCAAATGTTCCAAAGGCCAGCACAGCGCTGTGTTTTACTTGGCAGCCCTACCCTGTGGGTCTGGACAGGTGCTCAGTTTTCCTTTGTCTGTGGTCCTTACAGTCTTTTGAGTCTGAGAAAAGCCGAGTCTATTTTGCTTCTTCTTACCTTTACTCATTTATCTACTCATTGAACCTGAGGGATATCAAGCCTCTGAGCTACATAGGTAACCAATGAACCAGCCTGCTCCCCAAGTTCAGGTAGCTAAAATCCATATAATCACTGAGTCTAATTGGATTCCATTGGACTCTCAAAACATGGACCTGCTCATTAGTTTTCCCCTATATGAGATGAAATTCAGGTGTGGGTTAGTGGGCTCCTGGATGGGAAGATACTCTTCCAGTGGAATAGACACACGGCTAGCCAACCCCTTTGAGCCTGTCTCTCCTACCCACCCACACCGTGAGAAGCAGCCCTCCCAGGGCTGATTGATGATGGTGAGGAAGCAGCCAGAAGCTGGCCAAAGTACTGCTCCATTAAGGAATCACTCTTCAATGGACCCTTTGGCTCTGAGCCTGCCCATTAATCACTGAGAGGCAAAGTAGAGGGCTGGCTGGGCTAATGCACTTCACCTTCTCCCTGGCAAGTGTGGGTCCCCAGACAGCTTTAGGCCAGATGGGAACATAATGAGCCACCACCCTTGCAGGGCTTCCTCAAGGCCATCTGAAGATGGCTGGTGGAAGACAGGGTGTGTTGTGTTGCTCATGGACAGATCACCCTGACTCCTAAATCTGCTCAGCTCCACTAGAAGCAGACCAGCACCAGGAGCCTCATTTCAGAAACCCCTAGAGGTCAAGGACCTTTCCTCTAGCGTGTGTGTCTTTGAGTCCTGCTCAGGCCCGACCCACTCAGCAGAGAAGTGTGAAACAGGTGATCTTTTGAGATAAGCAAAACTGGCTAGATGGCATGCCTTGACATGTAAATCCTCAGGTGTCACACTGGGAACAACCTGCACATGATAAGATGGTGGGCGTAGGGGAAATGAGATGCAAATAAACATATGGGTGGATGGATGCATGGACAGGCAGCTGGATGGATGGATGGGTGGATGGATGGATGGATGGATGAATAGATGGATAGATAATAGATATCATTTCATATGAACAACTAAGAAGCCCAAATGTAAGAATGTCTTATATGTAGTGGCTTGTCTTTAACAATTGGTTAATACTTGGGAAAAAAGTGGACCAGTTGGTTTGGTTTTAATTTCTAATTAATTTTTTTTCTATCCAGTCATTGTGAATCAAACAGCATGGTGAGGCACCCCATGGATATCTAAATTAAAAACGTAATGGCAACCTATATTTTAATGCCATGCAAACATTTGCAAGCATTTTCAGTTGGAAGGTCCTGACAATCATTATGATAGGAGAATGCATTCTGGTGCTTCACACTCATGTATTTTCACTACGTTTTTAAATAAGACTGACTTTTTTCTATACATCTGTTATTTCTAAATAACTTGCTGGCATTATGTTACAATTAATTATCTCACTCTTTGATGCATAGTAGAAATAAGGCCTCCTAAGTCACATACCCCTCCCGTTTCTTAGCTAAATATTTGGGTAACTTTGTATGAAGCCTCAAGCCAGAAGGATGAGATATAGCCTGGCTTTGTGAGTGATCTCTTAAGAGGAAATGATACATACTTTTGTCAACACTTCATTCATGCAGAAGGAAAGATACTCCTTGACTTAGCATAGGGTTATGACTTGATGACCCACCATTGGCTGAAAACATTGTAAATGGAAAGTGCATCAACTGCCTCCAAACATCGCAGCTAAGCACCCTGTAGAATATGTACCACTGCCCCCTGAGACTGACTGTGAGCTGGGGTGTCCTGCAGCTGCCGGGCACCTCTGGAGAGGCTCCTAAGCATATCATAGTCTGGGAAAAGATCCAAACTCAAAACTCCAAATATAGTGTCAAGTGTCAAGGATTTGGTTTCCCAAGCTGGCTTTGAACCTGTAGCTAGAACTACAGATGTAAGCCACTGGTGCCTGGCTCAACCTTAACTCTAACTCTGTGTGTGTGTGTGTGTGTGTGTGTCTGTGTGTCTGTGTGTCTGTGTGTCTGTGTGTGTCTGTGCGTCTCCTGGGGCTTGAACTCAGGACCTGGGCTCTGTTCCTGAGCTTTTGCACTCAAGGCTAGCACTCTACTACTTTAGCCATAGCTTCATTTCCAGTTTTTTGGTAGTTAATTGGAGATAAAAGTCTCTTGGATTTTCCTGTCTCTTGGATTTTCATGGCTTCAAACCATGATCCTCACATCTCAGCCTCCTGAGTAATCAGGATTACAGATATGAACCTCTGGTGCCTGGCTCAGCCACAATTTTTTTTAAATGAAGGAATTGAAGCTTAGAGTAGTTAAGGGACTTCCCCAGGCCACACAGCCAAAGTCTAACCTAGATGAGTGAAGCTTAAGCTGCGTGCACTGAATTCTGTCTGCTCCCACTTCATTCCTCTGTTGCCTGCCCTGTAATTAGTAGCAAACACCTCATCCTGGGGGCCACATTGCTGGCCCCACTAACTACAAAGAGAGGAAGCTATTCTGGAATTGTAGCACTTGCAGGCTGAAAGTCCTGCCCAGCCCAAGTATCACCAGCCCTATGCCCAAGAAGGTGTGCATACCTAAAGCAATCTGGTCACTAGGAACCCAAGAGTTTTGAGCCCTTGGACTCACAGTGACCCGTCTGGTCAGATTCACTCTCACTACCAGAGTGGTCACAGGCCAGGGCTTACAGGGGGAATGTATGCTTGAGGGCCAACTCTGCAGTGGCTGGTGAAGGAGATACAAGCTTCACTCACATTCCCTCCTGGATCCACAAGACAGGTAGCCCACCCACTTTCTGGCAGGGGCCACATGCAAATAGAAGCC